CTAAAAAAAAAGAGAGAGAGACTTTCTGGGCTGAAAAGTGAAACAAATTGATTTTTAATTTATTAGTGATAGGGGAATATATGTATATTTATAAAGGGATGTGCAACACCTGATTCCCTCCCACCTCTCCCAGTGACTCTCACAGACTCCCAGCTGAAAGGGGGAGAGTCTGAGTGCATGGGTTGGGTCCTCAGATGTGGCTGTGAAGAAAAATGAAAAAAAAAAAAGAGACCGCCGAAGAGAGGGAGATAGAAGCAACAGTAAGCAGAAGACAAGAGAGAAAAAGGAAACAAAAGGCTTGACTTCTGCGATGTCTTAACCTATACCAAAAGCCAAATAGAGAAAATATTATGAGAAGGATATATTCTGATTTGCTGATCTTCAGTCTAGTCTGCTCTCCCATGGGGGGAAACTGCAGACATGAGCTTCAGAAGTGTCCTTGGTTGTTACCAGTCCACTGGTGCTGCTAAAAAAAAGTTCACTGAAAAGAAAAAAAATATCAGCAAAGAGAAAATTTGTTCCACTCTGGCTCAAACCTGGACACTTCATGAAGAGCATCTTTGCTCTATTCACACACTTGCCAGTTGTAGTTCAATGGGAGGTGTTGGAACGGATGCTGCGTTCAGCCAGCGGGGGGGGTCGCAGCCACTGTTGGTGTTGAGAGATGTCAGGCTGAGCTCTGATGTTAAGGGTGAAATAAGTCGTCTGACCTTTGTCCAGGTGCAGGGTAGGCTTCCTTTACTGTAACCTGGATTTTCTTAATTGCTATGCTGTGGTAGAGGGAACTGAAGTAGCGCTGAGTCATTTCACCTCACCTCACACATCCAGCACTCGTGAGGGCAGAGGCAGTGCAGGCTGACCAGGAAAAGCTGCCTGGCTTTTGTGTGAAGGGTGTGTGCTGCCTGCCTGGAGTTTACGGGTGAGTTGCCTTTCTTAACTCAGCATCATCTACACACCAAAGCCAATTTTTGCTTGTTGACTATTAAAAATAAATGCTAGAAAAAAAATAAGAGAAGTTTTACTTTTTTATTTGACTGTTGTTTGGATGTTACATAAAAAGCAAAACACAACATCTAATAAAGGCAGTAACATAACTCCTTTTTGCTTCAAAGATGTCAGTGTTCAGCTGGAATCCTGGTTTATAAACTTATCGGTGAATACTGAAGGTATTTGAAAATGGCAGGCTTACCATTGCATTATGTTTTTACTGAGAAGTAATTTATTTACAGATTATATTTTATTTTATTCTGCAAAGAGATTAGGATGATTTGGTGTTACAAATATAGTAATTGCTTGTATTGTTACTAATAAGAAGATAGAATAATGGAATAAATATTTATTGCTCTGATGTAATATTAAGAAGACTAAACACAAGAATTTGATTTTTGGGACTATTTTACTTAGTCAGAAGTAAAGCAAATAGAAATTAGTGGTAGATGGACAATGTGATTTTATTTTTGCAGGATGTTAGGATGCTACGATGCCTTGCAGAAGAAATACGTAAGTCTTCCAGTGTCATTTTGCTATTTTTAATGTATTGAAACATGCAGCCCATTTGCTGCCAGGGTACTCACAGGACTTTCTGCCTAGGAATTAGCTGTGATTTAGTATGTTCAAACAGTTAGCTATGGTGTGGGATACACAGACATTTCAGGATAATATTCTTTGTAAGCAGAAACATTTAAATTTGGGGATGAGTAGGATTTTTTTTCTGCCAGATGAGTAAGGCTGTTAAGGAGTTAAGGCTGTTAAGGCTTAAACAGTTAAGGAGTTAAGTGTATGAAGAGGCTTCTCTTCAAACAGGTCTCAGTTGTCTATACTGGTTTCCACAGCTAGAGAAGTAAAACAGCTTGGTGAGCAGAGATGGGATATGGAATACATTTAATATTCTTTTTCTTTCTCTAATTATGTTTCTGACAGCTAAGAATGATTGTCCTGGCAGTAAGTATCTGAAAAGTAAGGTACACATTTTTGAAGTTGGATGCTTAGAGAGCTGTACTGCTCTTACTCTGTTTCCTCTCTTTACTTTAAAAATACAGGTCTACAGCCATCCAGAAGATCCTCAGGTAAGTCTGCTAGGATATTTTGCTGGGTGAAGCGTGAGTACAAGTAATAGTACTTAACCTTCACCTTAATGAACATTAAGAAATAAGAAAAGGACAACTTAAAATGTCAGACCTAAGAATAAAGAGATCTTTGTAGCTGCCACATGGCGACCTGCTTTTGAATCTAGTGTCAGAATAACCTTCCTCAGGCCAGTACAAGAAACCCAAAGTGTTGTTGCAGAGTTAGGTGTGTAAGGATGCATCCTACTAACTGCATAACAAGTTAATGGCCCTTTGTGACAAACACAGTTACTAACCACTGGGTGTCACCATATCTCTGTTAGGTATGTGAAGCATTCTTATGGTGATTACAATGCAAATGCATTTTTTCAGTGGGAAGTCAAAAAGTGTGTGTTTCATACGCAAAAAGCTGATGTTTCAAAATACTTTATCATGGTGATTCCTCGAAAATCATGTAGATCTTAATTTTTATTTGATTACAATTATGTACGTTAATACTGTTAATTGTTACAGCATTAGAAAGCTGTATTCCATGCATGTAAACTCAGACAGGAGTTGCAGTTTAAATGCAAAGTTAATAGATTACTAGACAGCAGCAGCAGGAGCTTGCTTGACAGCTGATTGTTTAATAATTACTGGATTTCTTTGCAGACAATTACAGAATGTTACCACTTCAAATTCAAGTACACCCACAATGGGCCACTCCTGGATTTCTGCAGGTACTGTTGCTGTGACTTTGTTCTGCTCTGTGGTTTTACAGTCCATTTGCATACACCTGAATGTAAAAACTTTGGATTGTATTTATTTGGTGTTTCCTTTATAAATTCTGGATCTTAAGATTAATTTTATCAACATACACTGTTAGCTTAGACTTATTCTTAAAATGCAATGAGTCATTTTGTCAGATTATGCTCATAGTTTTAAATATCCACTCAAAAGATGATCCTCAGTGTCACAGTCTAATGACTCTCTGACCAGGTTCTTTAAGATATTCTATGTGTGAAAGGTGAAATGTTTTAATATCAGATTTACTTACTTGAAGATAACTGATGTTACCTGGGATTCCTCATTTAGCAGAGATAATTAAAAAATACCCTGACAAATGTCAGCACCCATAGCAAGCAGAGCTGTCACCATCCCCAGTGCAGACTTAGGGCAAGTGAGTACCAGTTCCCATTACTGGTCTCTGTCACACACTTAGTATCAGGATGCTGGGCATCCCACAGGGAAGGAATATGTGAGTTGAAGCCAACTCCAGCCCATTGCTCTGTTCAAAATAATTTTGTTGTTTAGTTACTATACTCTTTGGGCTGAACCAGATATTCACTCAAGGAGACATTCACATGCTTTGAATGAACTCAGGGAGAAACATTTGCACCACCAGCTGATGTGCTCAACTGACATAGCTATTTATCTAAAATCATAGATCGAAGGGGTTGAAAGTGACCTCTGAAGACCATCCAAGCCGCCTGCTGCAGCAGGAACACCTGGAGCAGGTCACACAGGAATGTGTCCAGATAGGTCTTGAAGGAGACTCCACAACCTCTCTGGGCAGCCTGTCCCAGGGCTCCCTCACTCTCACAGCAAAGAGGTTTCTCCTCATGTTGACATGGAACTTCCTGTGTTGTCACTTGGTGGCGTTTCCCCTTGTCCTGTCACAGGCACCACTGAACAGAGACTGACCCATTCTTGACACCCCCCTGCAGATATCTGTAGACATTAATCAGGTCCCCTCTCAGTCTTCTCCAGACTAAAAAGCCCCAGGTCTCTCAGCCTGTCCTCATATGACAGGTGTTCCAGTCCCTTCATCATCCTTGTAGCCTGCATTGGACTCTTTCCAGTAAATCCTTGTCCCTCTAAACTGGGCAGCCCAGAACTGGACACAATGCTCCAGATGTGTCTTGCCAGGGCAGAGCAGAGGGGGAGGAGAATCTCCCTTGACCTGCTGGCCACACTATTCTTGATGCACCCCAGGATACCATTGGCTCTCTTGGCCAGGAGGGCACATTGCTGTCCCAGGGATCACTTGTTGTCCACTAGGACCCCAAGGTCCTTCTCCATGGGACTGCTTTCTAGGAGTTCAACCCCTAATCTGTACTGGTGCATGGTGGTTTTACTCCCCAGGTGCAGGACTCTACTTTTATTCTTGTTGAACCTCATGAGGTTCCTCTTTGCCCAGTTCTTCAGTCTGTCTAGATCTTGCTGAATGGCTGCAAAGCCTTCAGGTGGATCAGCCAATCTTCCCAGCTTCATATCATGAATGTAATGAATTAAGGTAAAAAATGAAGGTCAGGTCCCCTGTACATCAAGATAAAGTCAGCTGTGGTCGGTGACACCTTGTGTCATGCCCTGAGCTTCAAGGGCCCATCAGTCTTGTGTGTCTCCACTGAGCCTTCTTCCATTGTAGAGGTTTATTGCTCTGTCACAGTTGTAAGGAAATGGCTTATTTTAAGGAAAGTAATTGCAATGTAGCAAGTTGATACCTAACAAACTTCTCACAGCCTTTCTGCTGCCTAGAATGCTTCTTAAATCGGGGTGGGGAAAAAAAAGAGGCTGCGGTGTTGCAGACCTTGGTCTTTTGGGCCAAGTGGAGTTGCTTACCTCTGCCAGAGGTGGTGAGGCATGTAGAAAACACTGGTGGAAGGGGAAACGACTCTCAGCCACTCCAGCCTTGGTGTATTGGCATAAATTCATGCCAGGCTAACTTGAAAATATAAGACATGGGCCTGGTTCTCTGGCAAGGTAAGGGAGGTGGTCATCATCTGCAGATAGGTGAGGTGTTAGAAACCATGGCCGTTAATGGGGTGCTGCCAAGAAATAGTTATCAGTGGAGAAGCTCAGTTGCTCACCTTGCTCTGACTACTCTGCTTGTCAGGTGAGCTGGGTGGCTGTGAGGAACGGGTGGAGAGCATTTCTGGTGGCAGTGAGGTAGGGTTTGGGTCAGTTGCTGTAGAACTGGAGCATGGAATGTCAGAGCTGGGTGCCAAGACTCACTCAGGCTCATGTTTTCTTAGTCACTGTTCTTTTCAGAGCCAGTGGTGTAACTTGGTTTAGTTAAGGGAAAGTAGTTATGTAAGACTTGGCTTTCAGAAGCTTTTGGGGCTTTCACAAATACCTACTTTTTCCTTTCACATTGGGTGTTTTTAAATTGTGTAATATAAAATAGAGCAGCTTGTCACAGCTGCTGAGTCATCATGCTTTCATGATGTCCCTGGCTCAGGATTTGATCTTCCAAGGAGCAAAAAACAGGTTGCTCAGACCATATTAGAAACTGCAGTGCCCATAATTTCAGAGCATAGACAATAAATATGTCTGCTTCTGACATTCACAGTGTTTAACAGTCATGTATTTTAATACCATAAACCTACTCTGCTTTTAAAAAAAGTCTGAATACTTTGGTTTTAGTAAGAGTAAAAGGAACGATTCCACCATCACCTGTGCAGACACCAAGAAAGCAAGTTTGCTGCTCATCCGCAAGATTTATGTTCTGATGCAGAACCTGAGCCCATTACCAAATGATGTTTGCCTGACTATGAAGCTGTTTTATTACGATGAAGGTATTCCACTATTACCTTTATTTATCATCTGGGTTCAGACATGGGAAAACAATTCAAATAAATACTTTAATGTATAATCATTACAGTTGCTGGAATGTGAGAAATTATGTTATTTTGCTTCTGTCCGTTTCTCATGACAATTTCTAAAATCCTGGGAAAGTGGATTTGACCTCACTGTAGGAACACAACCTTGTTACCAAGGTCATTGGAGCAAGGATTTCAGTGTGCTTGAAAAACAAATTGAGTTTTCTTGAGTATGTTAGGATGTAACAGGTTTGCCAGATTAGTTCTAGTTTGGATGACTAGTTAAGTGTCTCTGCTTTCAGAATGTATGATTGTTTTGTAATGAAAAATCAGAGCTTCTAGCTCACCTCTCTGCATGTATAAGCTGTTACAAATAGCTTTATCTGGCTTTGCCTGTTGTGTAGGAAAAAATAATAATACAAGGTAAATATAATTTCCTTTCCCCTGCACAGTTTTTTTGGAGTAGCTCTTGGTATTTAGGGGGGAAAAGTCTTTTTGCCACACAAGTTAAAATGTATTTTACAAGAATGAGTTTTATTCTAGCACATGTAATGAATTATTTTCTGCAGTTACACCGTCTGATTACCAACCTCCTGGTTTTAAGGAGAGTGAATGTGAGGGGATGATATTTGAAGGGGAGCCAATGTATCTGAATGTGGGTGAAGTGCCAACACCTTTTCATATGCTGAAAGTTAAAGTTACAACTGAAAAGCAACGGATGGAAAATGTTGATCAAAGCATCCTGAAGCATGGAGAGACTAATGTGCCTCTGCAGGTACTCAGAGGGGACAGAGATGATCCAGAGGAAGAGAACCAGGACATGAATGTAAGAGTGTAAAAGTTTTGTGCAGCTTGTTGAAATTTTTATTTATAGTCTGAAAAGAGCCATTAATTGTTTTACTGCATGTCTTTCTATAATCATAGAACATTACAATGCTTTGGGTTGGAAGGGACCTTATAGCTTATCTAGTCCCAACCCTCCCTGCATGGGCAAGGACACCTCCCACCAGACCAGGTTGCTTCAAGCCTCATCCAGCCTGCCTTGGACACTCTGAGGGATGGGGCAGCCTCAGCTTCTGTGGGCCACCTGTCTCGCCACTCTCACAAGGAAGAAATTCTTCCTAATGTCTAGCCTAAATCTGCCCTCTTTCAGGGTTTAAGCAAGAAAGTAGTTCTTCCATACATTTTTACTTCAATTTTACTGCTCCAGCATATAATGCCAGTCAGCAGCAGCTCACATTGCGGGAGAGCAGAGGGGAGCAGCAGGGTGAGGGGCTGAGTGGCAGCCTTGCGCTCTGGTTGCAGGTCCCATGGGTCTCAGTGTGCAGGATGCAGGTGAAGTCTCCTTGGCGCTCTCCTGTACCTGTCCGGAGTAAGCTACTGCAGCCAGGCAGTAGCCTGGCCAGACATTTGCTTTGGGATCCTCTTGCGCAACTGTGATGCATCAGCTTAACTTAAACTCGATTCTGCACTAGGATATTTCACTGGGAATATCTGACCAGAAATAGCCCAAAGTGAAGCCTGCAGGAGGCAGGAGCTCATCCTGCTGCTGCTGCTTGGGGAATGGCTGAGCAGGCTTCCATGGTTGGAGGCCTGTATTTCTAGAGTCAGCTGGGGCAGGCAGCAGGTGCCTTCAGGTTGCTGCTTGACAGCTGACTTAATATGAGCCAGTGTGTGCTCAAGTGGCCAAGGAAGCCACCAGCATCCTGGCCTGCATCAGGAATAGCATGGCCAGCAAGAGCAGGGAGGTGATCGTGCCCCTGCACTCAGCACTGGTGAGGCTGCAGCTCGAGCACTGGGATCAGTTCTGGGCCCCTCATTACAAGAAGGATGTTGAGTTGCTGAAGCATGTCCAGAGAAGAGCCACCAAGCTGGTGAAAGGTCTGGAGAACAAGTCCTATGAGAAGAGGTTGAGGGAACTGGGATTGTTTAGTTTGGAGGAGGCCAAGGGAAGACCTCATTGCTCTCTACAACTACCTGAAAGGAGGTTGTAGGGAGGTGGGAGTTGGGCTCTTCTCTCAAGGGAGTAATGACAGGACCAGAGGAAATGGCCTGAAGTTGCTCCAGGGGAGGTGTAGAGTGGATGTTATAAAGAATTTCTTTACCAAAAGAGTGGCTGGACAGTGCAACAGGCTGCCCAGGGAGGTGGTGGAGTCACCATCCCTGGAAGTGTTTAAAAGAAATAGAGATGTGGTGCTCAGGGACATGATTTAAGCCCTGAACAGGTAGATGAGGTTATGGTTGATGGATTGAGGTTATGGTTGGTGGACTGAGGTTATGGTTGTACTTGGTGATCTTCAAGGTCTTATCCAACTAGGATGATTCTGTGTTTCTGTGTTAAAATGTGCACATCCATGTGCTGATCTCTGCTGTCCAGAGGTGAGAGGTAGCCCCCCAGTACCGGCTTGCGACAGAGCTTCAGAGCTTTGGGCCCCTCTCCCTCAGTTAGCATTGCTGGGGAGGCCTGGAGGTGATGAGATGGAAATAAGCTGCTTGGCCCTCTGAATCTCCACCTGCCTCTGAGCTGCTGTTTCACAGGCAAGGAAAGCAGCAATTAATGCACTGATAGTTATTCTTTCAATACCTATTGTTACAAATCTAGTATTTTTTACAGCTGTTTTTCTTGGTTGTTGAATTAAATGTGTGCTTGCATTAATAATTAATGCTGAGCTAATCTGTCATGTCAGATTAAATCATTTCAATACAGTTTGTTCCACTGAGAATCTAACAAGCTCTGGCCCTAAGTACAAACCCTCTTCCTTATTTGTCTGCAGCAAGTGATAGACCTTTTTCTTAATTTAGGAAGATCCTGTCTTGGATAATAAAGTGGAAGAGAGGAATGATGTAAATGTTTCAGAAGATCAAGGTAATATTTATGTATATTTTTTAAAATCTCTTCAGTCTGTGCCTCTTTTTCATGTTACTAAAAGGAAACCTCACATTTCTGATGTAGGCCACTATATTAAAATTTAAAATAAATTTTCTTCACCTACATGTTATGCCTTTTGTTTCTATCATGACTTTGTTGTTTGAAGCACTTGGTTAGCAAGTGCACATTTTCAGATTTCTGGTTTAAAATTCTCATCTTCCCTGCCATCTTATCAGATAAGCTAAACTTAATGGCTTCCATGCTTAAAAGTAATTTTTGTTGTTTGATTTTTCTGTTATTGTTCTTACTATGTTTTTACTGCTATACTTAATTTCTACCTAAAGCTTTGCCGGGGTGTTGTGCACTTGAGTTCATTATTGCTGACTTGGGAAGCAGAATTCTTTGTGAAAAAAACAGTACAGGTTTATTTTTGTTTCAATCACAGCTGTTTGGGCTCTGTCTTCACAGCTTCAGCCACTAAGTTTAGCAGAAATACTACCTTTAGCCACCTTTTTTCCCTTGAGCTCTGACTGCAGCAGGGTCACAGCCTGAGTCTGGAACCCCTACCTGCTTCAGCCTGCAGTTGTGGAGGAATTGAGACCATCAGAGCTTGTGTACCTAGAGTTTCTGCTGAATGACACCCATGGAAATATATGTTGCATGTTCTTCTGTACAAAGGAAGTTGTTAATTTCTGCTACTCCTGATACAATCAGTAACTTCATCTCAAAATGTCTTTTGTTCTATGGATAATTGTGAGATTGTACTGCTGACTATTTGAGTGCCTTTTCCAGCTGCTTTATTTCAGGGCTTGCTCTGGCCCTGTGTGCCCTTTTTTCTTACTGTGCACATAGAGCATTTTGATAATTGCAAGCGAAGCTTTTAAACTTTAGTTTTTAATAGGTATAGATTCTAGCAAAGCACTTTTGTTTGTATGCATCTCAGCAAACTGAGTTTCCTTAAGTAAAATCTTAACATGGTAAAAAATCTGTCATTGTAAAACTATGCAAAAAATGTCAGTAGCAGCAAAAAGCAAATTTCAGGTGGAAGCCTATAAGGCAGCACTTCTCAAGAAGGCACCAAAAACATTCACTTATGTTTTATTTTTTTAAAAAGTTTAATGTAACAACTTCAATAAGCAATTGAACTGACAGTTCTGCAGAGAATATAATAAAACCTGTTGGTTTGAAAACACTCTGTGGACTCTTTAACTGTAAGGCAAAGCTGCCTTCTCCCTTGTGACCAAATAAAGAGTTATGCCCTTCCCCTTATGCAGGACATGAGGAAGAACCTGCTCATCCTTTCTTACGAAAACCAGCAGTGCCTGTCTCATGTTTTTCTTAGCCTTTAGACATATTGTTCCTGCATTGTTTGCTTACAGTTTTATAAGTGTCCTCCACTGTAAACTCAATGCAGAGGTCCCAATAACTGTCTTGGCTACACCAACCTGACTACAGCTCCATCAGAAAAACTCCCTGGAAATGCTGATCTGTTGGGTTTTTTTAGTCAGTGCTCCAAGATGCGGACCCAGGCTGTCTCCAACTCAAAAGATCAGGCAGCAAACTGTCCTCAGGGGTCTCTGTGAGTAGAAGCTTCCCTTTAGGATTTTAAAGAAACTAGGATGAAAGGTAGATGATGATTTATCTTCAGATTCCCCAAATAGCACAGGGCCTCGAAGACTGAACTTTTTGACCAAACAGACTGAAGAATAAATTGCTGCTTGTTGATCTGCTCATCACGGAGAGCCTGTGGAGGAAGCATCCAGCCAATCCTGGTACCCTTTTGTTGTACATTATGCATTTCAAACGTAGCAAAGAAAGATCAAAGAGGAAATCAGAGTCCTTTTTGGACTAAGATTAAGTAGAGCTGAGTATGCTGAATTCTGATGTGCTGATGGGATAGCTAAAGGAACAGTTCTCAAGGCTGTGAAGTAAAAACCCAAGCTTTGCCACCAAAATGGGGAGGGATGATGATGCAAGATGTGACCTTTATTTGTCTCAGAAGCTTGTGTAAAACGCTTTTTTTTTTTTTGAGGTAGAGGTTTCTGTGGAGCTAATGGCTATGTGGCATTCCTAGAAGAAATGCCCATTAGTGTTGCTGCTTTAGTTCACTCTTCTTAAGGTATTTCCCTAAATTTGAATCTGGTTTAAAATATAAATCTCCTTCTGAAGACTTCAGAAAGACAATTTGCCACAAAAACTTCCAGACATGTTGCTTTCCACATAAAAGTGAAAGTGGCTGCTCTGTCAGTGCTGAGATGGTTGGTCTTCCCAACCCAACAAGACAAACAGCTTCTTGGGGCTGCCATGGTGTCCAGGTGCTTGTGGAGGCAGTTGAACAAAGCAAGTGAGCCTGGATTTTATTTTTTTTAAGATGGGTTGGAGTGTCCTGCCATTCAAGAGCAACACTGAATGGGCTATGCTGAGTATTTAAATAGTGGCATTAATGTTTTGGATTGTTTGGTGTGGTGGGTTTTTCTCAGAAATACAATGTGGAGCTTTGCAAAGGTATTTTCATGCTGTTCAAAAATAAACATGGATACATGTAGGGAACAGCATGTGTAGATCATTGTTTTTATCTTAACTATGCTAGTAGGCTGCAGAGCTAGAATAACAACATAAAGCTGTATTTGGTGCTTCTAGATCTTCCAAAATCATGCAAAAATGCAGCAAATTGCTTCTTCTATGGAGTTGGTGTGTTATCTACAGGAAATGCCAGACTGGGGGAAATGCTTTTGTTGCCCTGAAATTCTTAAGTAACTTCCCCAGCTGAAACACGTTCATCTTGAACCAGTTCCTGCTTACATCTGTATCCTAGGGGGAAACTAGCGTGGGTTAGAAACAACAGCAAAAAAATCTCCAGAGCTGACTGCTCATTCTTAGAAGGCTGTTGATGCAGCTGCAGGCAGTGACAAGGGGAGCTGGTGGCTACAGGACCAGCAGCCAAAGTTGCCTGGTTCTGTGTGGTTGGGTGACAAAATGACAGCCATCCCTGTTCTGCAGCACAAAACGGGCTTGTGAGGCTTTTTACTTGGGAGGAAATGCCAGGGTAGCTGAGCCTTTAGCAGTGCAGTGTATGAAGGAGCCTGAGGATGAAGCCCTACTCTGCCAGACATCTTGAGTGTAAATCTGTGCTATGTGTCATAAACATCTCTTGAGTGCCTGGGGTAGGAAGTTGTGATGGGAAATCACTGACTTAAAGATGTAAGAGTGTGAAGCTTGGTGGAGTTAAGAACTTGCTTGTGAAGAGAATCTGGGGCCTTCTCAAGTACCTTCTGTTCATGAAGTGCCCATGTTCCTTGTGGTAAAACATAAAGCACACTATCAGCCTTTAACACTTATGATTTGACAACTCTTTTACAGAACCAAATTTAACTTGTGAAGAAGATGAAGTTACAAAGACTGGAGGGAACCAGAGTCTGAATGTTTCTAATCCTCAGGTATGAAAACTGCACTCTGTCATCTTAAAGTTTAATTAGAGCTTTTCTGAAGCTTCTTTCCTACTTTGGTTAATGGGTATTCTGCCACAGGTTTATTTACCACAGTCAGTAGTTTCAGCGATAAAATGCCTTTACAGTTTACTTTCCAGAGTTTAATATTCTAAAGCAGTAACAAAAGTCTTCTTGGTGATGCAGTTCTCTAACCTAACAGATGGTCTGACTGTTATTAAGAGAAAAGGGAGCACAATTTCCATATATTTCCACTTTATGAACTGCCATAACTAAACATTGCCTAATAGAAATTTCTCTGCTATTTCTGACAGGTAACAGCAAGTCACTTTCTGTATAGAAGTAGCCAGTGCTTTGATCTGGCAGAGCTCCTTGGCACTTTCAGCTGTAAATAGTCCTGCTGAGAAGGGGAGACCTTAGAGCACCTTCTAGTGCCTGAGGGGGCTCCAGGAAAGCTGAGGAGGGGCTTTTCACCAAAGAGGGCAGTGACAAAACAAGGTTTTAAACTGAAAGAGGGGAGATGTAGGTTGGCCATCAGGGAGAAACTCTTCACCATGACGGTAGGAAGGTGCTGGAATATGTTGCCCAGGGAGGTTGTGGAAGCCCCATTCTTGGAGCTGTTCAAGGCCAGATTGGGTAAGGCTTGTGCAGCCTGGTCTGGTGGGACGTGTCCCTGCTCAGAGCAGGGAGGTTGGAACCTGATGGTCTTTAAGGACCCTTCCAACCTCAACCATTCTATGATTCTGTGACTTCAGTGGGTGTGTACTCAGTGTAAATGGCAGCTCAAGTGCTGTGGTGAGCACAGCCAGAGCTCTGCAGACATCAGTGCTGAACTCTCCTGTAGCCTCTAATATAGATATATTACTGCTGTCACAAGGCAACATCTATTTCCTGATTTTAGGTTGATCATTTGGCGAATAAGACGTCTGAACTTAATATGTCAGAGAGCAGGACAAGAAGTGGAAAGATATTTCAAGCCAGCACTGTTAGTACAATTTTTTCTCTAATTCTCTTCTTTCTAATTGTTCTTATTTATGCATTTTTCTGTTCCAAACAGTGAATAAAACTCTAAGCTTTAATATAGTCCATGTTGACAGAATGAAATTCTCCTCACTTCAGAAATTCCCATGAAAGTGAATACATGTGAATTCCTAGTGTCTAAATCCCAAAGAGTTAAAAGCTATGTGTTGGTGTAGTTAAAAGAGGTTGAGAAAGAGTAATTAGGATTTATTTATACAGTCTTGAGAGTGTGTTTAGCCGGATTCCCCACTGGTTGAATCTGTTGTAGGTAGTAGTATGTGCCAGCAGAGATCCCCAGCCCAGTGCACCATATGCTTGCTAGTGATTTTACCTGGGAAAAATGAAGCCAAAATTCTAACCTTAGCTCTGTGACTCACTCATACCAAGAAAAATCCGCTATTTCTTTGCTTTCATAACCTTGCAGTAGATCAGGCTTGTAGCTGGCACTACTTGTGGGGAGCTAGATTCCTCCAGCACTGCACAGGTGGAGTTCAGGGTGGAACTTGGCCTTTGGGTTTGGCATTGGAGTGGCAGTGGGGGTCCCCAGCTATCTGTTGCTGCTGCCTTTACCAACTGAGCTTGGTAGCTTCAGCTTTTTGAGGCTCAGGAGCTTCACAAGACCTCAGCATCTCTCAGGTTTACTTTTCAGCTTCTTCTCAAACAAAGCTGTGGGGTCAATACTGCCATTCTGGTCAATAAACAAGAGCTTTTTTGCAGCCAGGAGGGGAAATTACCTGTCCAGGTCAAGGAAAATCATATCCTTCCTGTCTGCACTCAGGAAAGCTCTTCATTAATTTTGAGTGCAGTAGTTGGGTAAATATTGTGTTGTTTGATTGTTGCCAGTAGTTCTCTACTAAACTTGTATTTACCTTATGCATTTAAAGGCTGATGGAAATCAAGCTTGGGAGCATGTAAAATTAATTCCTTGGCAGAATGTTCTAAAGAAATCCAGAAAATTAATTGTTCTTTGCCTTAAATATATCTGTGCATGAAAGCTGGATGTGAGAAGGGCTATCAGAGTTTTGCAACAAATTAATGAAGTGGAAATGTTAAAGTCAGAATATGAACTAGAGGATTCAGACTGTTTATAACATGCTGCTTATCACGTAATAGATTATTTTCACTTCCAACCCCAGGGTCATTTGCAGTATTTTTTATGTTATTCAGTGATGTGGGGGATAAAAAAAACCCTGCCAACATAATTCTATATGGTCACTATCACCATATATTTCTCCAACAAAAAGGGTTTATTAATGAACTTAGTAGAATTTAAACAGATAATCAAAAGCACAGTAGAAAGATCAATTCTGCCAGCAAATAGTATCCAGATGTATTCTGGGCAGGACCAGGATGGAGCCAGAGGCTCAGAGGCAGCTCTGGGTCACCAGCTGCCTTGCTCTGTGTTGGTGTTTCCCTTGCTGAAGTTGCCCACTCCTGGAGCAGGCCTGTGTCATGTGGCAACCTGCAATGCAGTGTTTGTTTTCTCTTGCAGGTTTATCAGTTTGAACCCTCATCTAGTCAAGATGTGCTGCCAAAAAGGAGAAAGATCAGTGAACCAAAGGAGCAGTTTTAGATCCGCATCTCTCTGCTGTTTGTTTTGACCTGTTTTCCAATTCCATTTTGTTGTTTAACAGGAATGTTCATATTTAAATCTTGTAGGGATCTTTTCTGTGTGCAGTAAAAGTAGTAAGTGTTGTAAGGAAAGAAAATCCATCAAGAAGTTCAGCTGAAGAAACCAGAACTTGTTATAGGAGATTGTACCCCATCAGGAGAAACAAGAAAGTACCTGACTGCAGATGGACCTGAGAGTTTCTGTCACAAAGGTGATTTGGAGAATTTGACTCCCTGCTCTTAACATGTTTAAATCCTGATGGTGATGGTGTCATGTTCCTGACCCACAGCACAGGGTTTCACAGGTACCTGTGGCTGTATTTCAGAGCTGAGGAACTCCTTGTCCAGAACTTCCTATGGGGCACAAATCCCCTTGAGTCTTGGGTTCATTTCCAGAGTGTTTGGGAGCAGGTTTTACATGTTATGCTGTCAGTTACAGCAAGATCACAGTTTTTGCTTTTACTGCTGGGATAGTTGTGCATGGGGGGCTTCTTTGTTTCAGACTGAAGGCACCAGACTCCAGTAAAAAACAAGCATTCTTCATACCTTTTATTACATATTTAATGTCAAAATGTAGGAATTTCTGTGCAGCTGCAAGGAGACACTGGTTTGTGATTAGAAACCACGTATGAATCTGTGGCAGGCATATGTTATGAGTGTGAGATTTGAACAAACCGGTGTGTACTTAAAATTATTTAACTGCAGAAGTTGGACATGGTACCTTTTCTTTGTCTAGCGACAAGATGTTTCTGCAAGGTGAAGAGCTGCCACTGTCTTTAGTGAGGAGAGCTGAACGTGCCTTGACGTTTCTGACTTAAATTAAGAATGGCGTGTTACCATTCCTCAATTAAAACTGTTAACGTTTAGTTGCCGTGTATTTCTTGGCGGTCTTAAGGGAATGCGGGTGCCCTGTGGCCGCTCTGGGTTCCCGGGGTCGGGGCAGCTCCTTCCTCTGCGGGCCTGGGCCTGCGGCAGAACCGCCCAGACCGGCCTGTAGGGAACTTGCGGGGCAGAGCGGGACGGGAAGGCGGGGAGGGGGGCAAAGAGGCGGAGGGAGCGACCGTCCCGCCCCCGCCGGGCCCGGGCGCGCTCCCATTTGCCGGCGTCGCGCTCCGGGCCGCGTTACCGGAGCCCAGGAAGCCGCGGGGCCGCTTTCCCCATCAGCACAGCTGGATCCAGCCCACAGTCCACCACACTCAGGTGGCTGCCACGCTAGACAAGGCTTTGCCACAGGGACCAAAAGATTTTTATTGACAAGAAAGATGAAGATGCCTTTCCTCCTCAGCACATGTGCTTGGCACAGTGTTATGGACACACAAATCAAAAAGTCAAAAGGTTACAAAAAATATTTTTTAAAGAAAACTGTAATAATTTGATAGCCAATAGTGATTTCTGAGGATCTCACCTGTGCTTTCTAAACTTGAGACTGGCAGTACTGTCAACATCAGTAATTAGCTGCAGCCTTCAAGTAGAAAGAAGAGGAAGAACTGACATTTGACACAAATTCTGAAGTGAAGCCAACGCGATCATTTGCAGCGTCCTGAGGCCACGGCCTCTCCCTGCCAGGGCCTCCGGTGCAGCCGCCCTGGGAAGGGGGAGACGAAAATTCCTAGGAAGAAGGCGGGAGTGTCCCTCTTGGTGCCTCCTTGGAGCCTGGGTCGGCACTTTTAGGACCAGGACGGACCTCGGCTCGCTGTGTGCTCTGCCACAGGGGGACATGACGACGCTGACGCACCGGGGCCGGCGCGCAGAGGCGGGGAGGGACTCCGGGCAGAAGCCTGGCCGGG